TTTACGTTTAGTTCGTTACGTTACTTACTACTACTACTACTACTACTACGTCTACGTATAGTACGTTAGTTAGTTACGTTAGTTAGTTAGTTATATATATATATATATATATATATATATAGTAGTAGAGAGAGAGAGAGAGAGAGAGAGAGAGAGAGAGCTGAGGCTCTAAACAATCACATTAAAGCCCACCTCAAAAATTTCACTAGAAGAGGTTTGTTTTTATGCCCAAATATCCTCAAATGGCTTTCAATTTTTGGAAATAGTACTTCTTGTAACGCATTTTTGGACTGTCAATTTTCAAGATTTTCAAGTTTTCATGGATCCGCTCGATCTACACTTTTTTGAAGCTTTAAATTTTATAATTAAAAGTGAAAATATATTTTAATGCTATCACAAAGATTTCCAGTATTGAACACATTTCTCGACACTATTTGAATGTGGGCTTTACTTTGATTGTAGCCTCAGCTCTATACAAACTGCACACACACACACACACACACACGCACACACACACATACATATATATATATATATATAGGAAAAGACTTTTCCTATTTGTTTATTACTTTGTGAAAGACATGAAATTAAACAATTTTGCCTGACCATTATAGAAAATTGTCTCTTCTTGAATGTCAGGAATGGTGAACACAAGTTGCCAAATTCATTCGTTTATTTGTTAATTCCAGGTGAGGGTTCCTTGCTTTCCAAAGAGTATCGTATTGTCCAATGTACTTTGGTGTACTAATACTCCATTGGGTTCATCACCATCCAATTAAATGCTGGACGAGAGTGGAAAGACCACCAGATCAGTCCCTTATTCCAATGGTGATCCATGTTCCACTCTCTTTGCATACTGTCCATTTTGATCGTGAGCCCAATGGACTATGGTTTTTTATAATTTATTTGGTTATAATGTACCTTCCCTTTCTAAAGTGTATCATGCTTCTCCACCGTGCATCACATTCAATTTAGGCTTATGATTCTGAAATGTTTAGGCCTCTTCAGCAACCATAGTCCACTGTACTTTGTGAACACCAAAAGGTTCTTCTCAAAGATGGGTCTAGCTTGTCATATTGCAAAGATCCACAGTGAGGTATGGCCATATTATGCTTTCAGAAATGATATTTGGTACTTTAGTAAATGATTGAAAAGCACTCCTAGTGACTGAAACCAACACAAATGAAGTTCTTATTATGCGCAGAAATGCTCATGGACTTTTGATGAAGATAGATCATCAATCGTGAATTCCTTAAGATTTGAACAAGTTTGGTTCATTTGGATTTTTTATATGCCAAAAGATGCTGCAGTGTTTTTTGTTATTTTCAAAGTGTAATGAAAATAATAGCAATGAACCATCACCTGAAATCATCATCATCATCCGAGCCTTATCTCAACTATTTTGGGGTCAGTTATACAAATCCTTTTTTGCCATTCTGCTCTATCAAGGGCCATACCTTCAGTCAGACTATAAGTCACCGTATCTCTTTCATTACTTCCATCCATGTTTTTTGGGCCTTCCTTTGCCCTTTTAGATCTTCCCACTGGAATCAAGTCACCCCTCCCAATTGATGCTGTTCTAGGTCGACGCTGCACATGGCCAGACTACCTAGTCTACTTTCCTTCATTTTATTGCCTATTTATTCATTCCAAATTCTATATTTCTTGTTTGCCACTCATCCATCTCAACATTTTCTATCGCAACCGCACTCATTCTCTGGATATGTTCTTTTTTACCCGCCCAACATTCTATCCTATACACCGCGGCTGGTCTTATAGTCATCCTATAGAACTTCATTTTATTTTTATTGGTATGTGACGATCACATAAGATTCCAGACGCACATCGCTATTTGTCAGGATTAAAAAAATGCTAGGTGGCCCTCTCAAGTATGAGACTGGCCAATATTATAATGGGGGAGAAGGGTGTATAAATGGGGATTTGGAGGTTTTTATGCACTGAGAAACCCCATAGTGTATGTTTTATTTTTTGGTCTTTATATGTTTGATATTCTATTAATGTCATAATTGTAGGTCTGTGAGTGTATCTTGCGCACATATTATTGAATAATCAATCACAGATTAACATTAGAACATCATGAAAAACACATGCATCTAGGAATCAAGATCCAAAGTTCAATGATTAGAGCCATCGAGTGTGGGTGGCCGATAACCTCCTCTAATAGCCTCCCTTGAAGTTCTCCAAGATTCGAAACCGCGCCTCTTACAACCAAATTGATTTCTTTGAAATCTTTTCCTGTCTTTTCCTAAATAATTGTTTTGATGTGTCCCCTACACAAAAACGACATTGGTGAACCAAGGGGTTTGATGTGTTCTTTTGCCGTGAAAACCAAAGAAGTCTGAAATTTGAACCTTTCCCCTCTAAGGCATAAAACCAGAAAAACTCATGTAGCCTTTTGGGCCATCAGTAAATTGAGGTAGATCTCCACACATCATAAAAGAAACCACTCATATGTTTCTTCTCATTCAAACCATGGTATCCTGATCCCCTTTGCTGGTAAAATTGCGGTGTCTCTTCTATTTCCACTAGTTTGTTCCAGTTTACTGCTCTATCTAAAAATATAATATCATGGTTTAAGTGTTAAAGCAAATATAAACCATAAAAACAAAGCAAAATACTTTATGGGGGTTTTCTCATCTTCTGATTTTTTATTTAACTTGTAATTACTAGGCTTCAGTGGAACATAATGCCTTGGAATTGAAACAATACATCGAGGAACTTTATTGGGGATCAGGCAAGCGCGTATTATTGTTAGGCCACAGCAAAGGTGGGGTTGATGCAGCAGCTGCATTATCCCTTTACTGGTCTGAGTTGAAGGATAAAGTTGCAGGGTTAGCTTTGGTCCAAAGCCCATATGGAGGCAGCCCAATTGCGTCTGATATTTTGAGGGAAGGTCAAATTGCCGATGTAGAAACAAGACGGCTTATGGAGCTTGTTATATGCAAATTAATCAAGGTATCATCCAATTATTGTTTTCCTTTTTCTTTTTGTTTTCTTTTTTTTCAATAACATGCATTTAGGAAAAGTTGTATGTGAGTCATGGATGCAAGAGCATGCTGACCCATGAACGTCCATTTTACAAAATGGATGTTAGGTAAAGTGCACCGGATGAAAATAACATATGGACGATGCAAAAGAATATGAAATTTTACTTTTTTCATATGTATGATCACCTTGGCCAAGATCATGAATCCCAAATAATTTGGATAAAAATCTTAAAGAAAAAGTCCTTTAAGATGGATTGTATAGGGGGAACGCATATTTACATATGTGTCTGTTGTCTCATAGAAACCCCATCTAATATATACACACCCACCCACACCCATACACACACACACATATATATATATATATATATATATATATATATATATATATATATATGATCACATCTGTCTCTCTCTCCATTGCATTGCATTCACTCTTGTACCACAATGTAGGGTGATATGCAGGCACTAGAGGATATATATATGATCACGTCTGTCTCTCTCTCCATTGCATTGCATTCACTCTTGTACCACAATGTAGGGTGATATGCAGGCACTAGAGGATTTGACATACGACAAGCGCAAGGATTTCATACTCAAACACACCCTCCCCACAGATGTCCCCTTGGTCTCCTTCCACACTGAAGTGAGCATTGCCCCCAGTGTTCTGGCCACCATGTCCCATATCGCCCATGCTGAACTCCCTTCGCTCCCCTTACCCTTACCAGGCTTGGGCCTGGGCTTCAACAAGAGAGAAGAGTTTGACGGCAGTTATGAGGAGCCCAAGCCCATGAAGAAGAGGCTCCCTGTTGTAATACCTCTTGCTGCTGCCATGGCAGCTAGCTCATTGCATTTGCATCTGAGGTATGGAGAGGCGAGCGACGGGCTGGTGACGCGGAGGGATGCTGAGGTCCCGGGTTCGGTGGTGGTGAGGCCGGAGAGGAAGCTTGACCATGCATGGATGGTGTATTCATCGTGGAGGAGGAAGAAGGATGAGGGTTTGGAGGTGGAGGGAGGCTCAGAGGAGATGTGTGAGGCTCTTTTAAGCTTGCTTGTGGAGATTGGGCAAGGGTCTTTGAATGGGTGATTCTCTCTCTATAATATATGTAGTTTTCTCTCTCTGTTTCTCTTTCTCTATCTAAAGTGATCTGTAATGCTTATCAGATTTGAATGCATCTGCGCTCGCACGTCGCTCTCTGAGTTAATATAATGAAGAAATATGGCTCTAAGTTACTGTGAAATGGTATCATCACAGTTAAATACATGAAATTGTGAGATAAATGTGAAACTGAAAAGGTTTTGTTTTCCATACATCATTTGATTTTGTATGATCTTTGTGTTCGATTGTTGATCTGATATTGGAACTCAAAGAAACAAATGTTGGACATGTTTTCCTTTCTTCATATTTAACTAATGGCACGTTTGGTTCGCATGAAATTGTTTTTCGGAAAATATTTTGATATGAAAAAATTCTCTCACGTGGTTAAGTGTGAAATTTTTTTTATATCAATTAGTTGCCAATTGGTGTGAAAAGATGCGTTAAGATCAAATGGTATGAAAATATTTCCACACTTAACTACCGATAGAATTGTTCTATATAAAAATATTTTTTAAAAACAATTTGACGTGAACCAAATATGCCGTAAAGGACCTAAAAAAGGTTGTTTTGACGTTGGGAAAACATCTAATTGTTGATCACAACATCGAGATCTATACATATGGAGAAAAGAGATATTTTTAAGCTTAAATATAGAACAACCTTCAATACATTATTTGAACAGTCTATTTTTCAAGACTTTCATGCATTTATAGATATGTTTGATTTGAACAATTTTGGAGTTCAAAATTTTATAGTTAAATATAAAATAGATTCTCATACTATCCTAAAAAATTTTGAAACCAAAATTGCATCTCATGACAAAGTTTGAGGGTGCACATTAATTTGATTGCTTGTTTGCAAAGAATAACATATTAAAACCAACCAACTTATCCGCAAAATGGTTACATTTCGAAGCCCACTAAAAATATTGCAAATATCTCTTTGATTTTTTAAATTTCGAGATATTCAAATATTATAAGTATACTCATTATTTTTATTTTATTTTTTGATAATTAAAATGTTTTAAATATATAGCGCTTTCCAGCACTATAGACCTAACATATTTTTAGCCGTTCCTACTGCTACAAACCTAATGCTGTGCAGCCCCTGCAGCAGTTGGTGCTTCACTAGGTTTGTAGCAGAATCACAACAGATCTATTAGGTATGTAGTGGCAACACCACTATGGATATGTTGGATCCATGTTAATTTTCCGTGTTACAGACCTAATGGTTCGTATTTTAGCTATAAAAAAAAAAAAAAGGGGGGAAAAATAAGTACAGGCGTGGTATATGAAAATTTTAGGGTTTTTAAATTTTGTAAAATGGAGAGGATATTAGCGATAATTTCTAAAAAATGTATCACTCAAGCATATCCTAGACTATTTTATTAGAAACACCCAAAATACCCAATTATAGCTTTAGAATCATATATTGACAATTTAGTGCCGACCAGAGCCAAATGAACTAAATATTCATATTTGTTTTGGATTTGAAATTTATGACATGCAAAAGATATATATCGGTCGGCCCAAACTTAAGTGGTTCACGTCAAATGACAAATTCTTCCCAATTCTTCGGTACCACACTTAAATGTGTTATTTTCCATTGAACCATCTTATTTCGACTTTGAAATCCAGGTCAAGGGGGCATTCTTGTATTTGGCACTATTAATAATGGGATAAATACTAAGGGAAAAGTTTATATAGAGCCTAGGCTCTAAACAATCAAATTAGAGCTTACCTCAAAAAATTTCACTAGAAGAGGTTGTTTTGATGTCCAAATATCTTCAAATTGATCATTTCAACATCAAGATGCATGGACTTGAGAAAAAACTGGATTTTAAGTTTTGGAAATAGTGCATCTTGTAACGCATTTTTGGACCGTCAATTTTTAAGTTATTCAAGTTTTTTTAGATCTGCTTGATCTACACTATTTTTTAAGCTTTAAATTTATAATTAAAGATGAAAATATATTTTAAGGCTAATCAAAGATTTCCAGAATTGAAATCACATTTCTCGACACTATTTGATGGTGGGCTCTAATTTGAATGTTTAGAGCCTCGGCTCTATACAAGCTGCACCCAATTACTAAAGGACACTGTTTTTATGAGTCAGCTGACTCATATATAGATATGTGCCTTCTGCCCATAATCCATTTTAGAATTTGAACTTAAATTTTTGGTAATTATAATCTTTAAGATGGGGGAGTAATATGTAAAAAATAAATTTAAAATTTAAAATGATTGTTTTTTAAGAATAAATTTAGAGCATCGATTTTGTTTTTACGCAGCACTAACACTTTTTCAAATGCATCATTAGGATGGATATGTGATGCGTGAGGGACAGTATAAATACATTCCCCGACGTACAAAACACTTTTCTATAACTAAAGGGTGTGGTTTGCATAAGGTTCCAACCTTAAACAATTCAATTAAGGGGGAGCACCTCTAAATTTGATCATAAATGAAATTTTGATATAAAATTTTTTTAGGATGACTTGAGAATCTATTTTCATCTCTAATTATAAAATTTTAGTTAAAATCAAGTAGATTTATAAACACATGAAAATCTTGAAACTTGACGATCTATAGATAATATCTTGTAAAATATACTATTTTGTGGACTCGAATTTTTTTCTTTTTTCTTTTCATACTCATCGAGATGATCAACTATAGGATTTTCCAACATCCAAACAACCCTTTTTATTATTTATAGGAATTTAGAAACTTTATTAGAAGGAAATTACAGAATCAGAAACAATTTTCTCTGTTAAAAAAGTATCTCTTGGCAAAATAATCCCCCAACACATTGGCTTCTCGATAAACATGCACAAATGATAAATTAAATGGTCTAGACAAATTCAAAATTTGTAGACAAATCTAAAATATGTAGCAACACATATCTCAGCTCCCAAAACAACTTCAGCTCCCCTTTGCACACATTGAATAAATCACCTTCAATAACACAAAAGTGACCTAAATTCCTTGCCACAAAAAAATTTAAACCATGAGGAGAGCCGAGAATGCTGTAGGCTGTTTTCTCCCCAAAATAAATTGCAAAAGTAAAATTTACATTTCCATCCCAATCCCTCACCACTCCTCTAAACCAACTAAACCAGGGTTAACTAACTAACTGCCATTAAAGTTAAGTTTAAAGACTCCCTTCAAAAGTGGTACCCATCTCCCCTTGCGCTTAACATCCAAACACCTCCTCGTGGCCCTAAAATCCAAATTGTCTTTTATGATGGATTTTTGAGGTGCACCTTTAATTCTACATTTTAAAGTTGCAACCTTATATAAACTTTTTCCTTACTAAAATACTCCTTCTCATTTAGGATTAGATACTTATAATATGGGAATTTTGGGTAGAGAAATTTGTCAAGATACGCATATCAACTATTTAACAATGGGTGAGGTTTCTATAAGGCGTTAACCTTAAACAATCAAAGTAAAACGCCCTTCCAAATATTACTAAAAGATGTATTTCCGTGTTGGAAAATCCATTTTCACTTTTAATTATGAAATTTAAATATACAAAGCTGGCATATATTGAGAAGATCTCAAAACACTTACTATTTTTAAAAAATAGACAGTCTAAATAATGTGTTATAAAATATATTATGTTTAAGACTTACAATCTTTCGTTTTGCATATCTATACATTTCAACTTTCCAAGGGTACGATGGTCAATTATAGGGCTTTCAATGCGGGAGCAATCTTTTTTGATAAATTTTTGAAGGATCAGTTTACTTTCAAAGGCTGGCAATAGACTAGGGGGCCGGGCCAGCCCAAAGAAACGTACAGCGGCCCGAGTGATATTATATCCAAGATCACCGAAATCGAAATGACACTTCCTCAAAAATGGGAAATTTCACCGAAATCAACAAAAGTCGGAAACCATCGATTTCGCTGCCCTTTGTTCATCTCACACGTGCATTGGCACGTGAAACCATCCGCCCCGTCACACAGGCTCTCTAACTCCTCTCTCTCTCTCTCTCTAAAATTAACATCGCCCTTTAAAATGTTCACTCTCTCTCTCTAGAAAATTGTATAAAAAGAAAAGAAAGCAAAAGCATGACACTGAAATACATGGTTACATATGCAATGGAGGATAAAGCCGTCGTTACATCACACCGTTAATTTTCTCTCCCCTCTGTCTCTCTCTAAACTCCTCAAGGAGTTGAAGCCAGGGTTACCATATCTGATCCCCATTTGCTGTCCTCTCTCTGGTCTCCTGTGAAAGGAAGGAGGGGAAGTTGGTCATGGTGACGCCTAGCTGCATCTTTGATTTGAGCCCAACACTTTCTCTCTCTAGGATCCACTTACTCCCTCGAAGTTGTAGTGAGAGAAAATAGGGATTTGGGATGAGATTTGTGGGTCATGGCTTCAGAAAGCAAGGGGAATGCTTTATCAAAGGTGAAGCTCATAAATCCAGTTAAAGATGGTTCTTCTTCTTCTGCCAATAAATTGAATAAGGGAACTTTTACTGTGAATAAGAAGAAAATTGAGTGCTCAAACAGAGGGGCTGGAGATTTGAAGCAAAAATCTGTGGTCACTGTAACAAAACAAGAGGTACCCATTTTGGATTTGGGTTTCTCCCTATTTCTTGCTTGATTTGATGGCTTTTTTTGGGGGGCGGGGTCCCTATTTCTTGCTTGATTTGATGGCTTTTTTTGGGGGGCGGGGGGGGGGGGGGGGCAGAGAGAGAGAGAGAGAGAGAGTCTTCCATCCAATATATCCAAAGTTATTGGTTTTGCCCTTTTGAAATTGATTGAAATTTTGGGTCTTTTTCTCTTGAATTGTTCATCTGACCTTTATTTTATCCTCAATTTAGTCTTTTTATTCTTTTGGATTCTTCATGAGACATTTATCTGAAATTATTTGTTATTTATTTCTAATGAAGCTTTTCATTTTCATTTCTTGAGGGGACCTTTCTTGAAATACATGTGTGATTCTCCTCTTAGGTTTCCATATGGTTTTGATATTCCTTTTTTTTTTGTTCAACTACAAAAGTGTTCTTTTCATTTATCACTGGAGTTTTCTATTGTCACCCATTTGAATTCTAATATATCTTTTGTTTTGGTTGTATGATAGAATTCTCAGTGTAAGGTCAGTTGATGCTTATCTTTGCATCTGGATTTGTGATATAGGTTAAAAAAACAACAGCAGCAAGCTCATCAAAAACCACCACAAAAACTAATACTGTTAAGGTGAAGACTGAGAAGAAAGTTTATACTTTGCCTGGCCAAAGATATGATCCTCCTGAAGAGGTTTGAGACCTCTCCTTTAAAAATTTCTTTCTTTAGGGTACATAATACATTAATTGTGATTAAATTTGTAACTTCTTTTGTATTTCTGTGGAGATTAGATTTGAAACTATTGTGTTATTTTCTTGCAGCGGGAACCATTGAGGATATTCTACGAATCGCTTTTGAAACAGATTCCTTCAAGCGAAATGGCTGAAGTTTGGTGAGTAGTTTTCAGTTTTTCCATTACTGTTCATAAATATATACATCAGTTTTATTAGATTTTGTTCTGTGTATTTGTTTTATTTGTTACTTTTTTTATGTTTGAATTTCTCTATCATATGAGGCTCTTAAAGATTTCCTTGATTGGAGATTTCTCCTCAGTGGAGTCACCCAAATGTGTATGGTTGATCTCTAATATTAGTATCTGTTCAGATTCACTACTCAAGGGGCTCGGTGTATAAACTCTGCCCTTTTCATTTTCTATTTTTTGTATATTTAGTGCTGATGTTATACCTACAAATCTTTGCAAGTGAACTGCAAGTTTTCGGGTGAGCCGGAACCAATGCTTTGTAGTCTATAATTCATACAATTAGGGATTAACTAATAACAAATATTTTAATTTTAAATTTATTTTTAGTGTGGGTAAGTCCATTTTGTTTGGTAAAATACCTTTAACTTTCAATTGAGAAGAATTAACTCAAAAATTGAGGATTAAGCGAGTAAATATTTAATTATGCCCATCATAATGTGACTCAAGTTATTGGAATTCAGATGCATCCTGATTTCAAAGGAGAAGCTATAGCTCATGCAGCTAATGGGTGAGTTAGGGCATGCAGTTTATATGGGTGAGTGAAACCACTTTAGAAAAAAAGGCCAAGTGGCCATCTTTATTACATTTTGTAATAGAAATGTTAACCAAACTTTGACAACAAATCATGGTAGAACTGCTAGCATATGATGGGCCCCTAAATGACCGCTTAGTGATAAAGGAGGTAGGGGTGCAGAGACGGCCAAGAGGTTTGCTTAGAAGCTGCCACGCTTGAAAGAGTACGTAATAGCTCATTGATCGAGCGCTCTTGCACTGAAGATGAACGAGGCTAAGCAATCTGCCGAAGTTGTGGGATGTAAAAATGCATCGGTAGAGGAGCGTTCCGGATGTAAAAATGCATCGGTAGAGGAGCGTTCCGCCTTAGAGCGAAAGTGAGAATGTCGGCTTGAGTAACGTAAACATTGGTGAGAATCCAATGCCCTGAAAACCTAAAGTTTCTTCCAAAAGGTTCGTCCACGGTGGATGAATCAGGGCCTAAGATCAGGCCGAAAGGCGTTTATGGACAACAATTGAATATTCTTGTACTACCCCTTGTTGGTCCCGAGGGACGGAGGAGGCTAGGTTAGCTGAAAGGTAGTTCGGTTTAAGGATGCGAGGTGACCTTGCTTTTTTTACAGGGTAAGTAGAGGAAATGCCTCGAGCCAATGTCTGAGTACCATGCGCTACGGTGCTTAAGTAACCCATGCCATACTCCTAAGAAAAGCTTGAACGACCTTCAACAAAAGGGTACCTGTACCCGAAATCAACACATGTGGGTAGGTATTGAATACCTAGGGGCACGAGGCAACTCTCTTTAAGGAACTCAGCAAAATAGCTCCGTAACTTTGGGAGAAGGGGTGCCTCCTCACAAAGATGGGTCGCAATGACCAGGCCTGAGCGACTGTTTACCAAAAACACATGTCTCCGCAAAGTTGTAGGACCATGTATGGGGGCTGACGCTTGCTCAGTGTCGGAAGGTCAAGGAAGTTGGTGACCTAATGACAGGGGAGACGGCGACTGAAGCCCTGGTGAACAGCGACCATAACTATAACGGTCCTAACGTAGTGAAATTCCTTGTCGAGTAAGTTCCGACCTGAACAAAAGGCGTAATGATTTGGGCACTGTCTCGGAGAGAGGCTCAGTGAAATAAATATGTCTGAGAAGATGTAGGCTACCTGCACCTAGACAGAAAGACCCTATGAAGCTTTACTGTTCCCTGGGATTGGCTTTGGACCTTTCCTGCGTAGCTTAGGTGGAGGGCGAAGAAGGCTTCCTTCTCTGGGGGGCTTGAGCCATCAGTGAGATACCACTCTGGAAGAGCTAGAATTCTAACCTTGTATTAGGAATTACGGGCCAAGGGACAGTCTCATGTAGACAGTTTTTATGGGGCATAGGCCTTCTAAAAGGTAACGAAAGAGTGCAAAGATTTCCTCGGGCTGGACGGAGATTGGCCCTCGAGTGCAAAGGTAGAAGGGAGCTTGACTGCAAGACCCACCTATCGAACAGGGACGAAAGTCAGCCTTAGTGATCTGACGGTGCCGAGTAAAAGGGCTGTCGCTCAACAAATAAAAGTTACTCTGGGGATAACAGACTGATCTTCCACAAGAGTTCACATCGACGGGAAGGTTTGGCACCTCAATGTCGGTCTTCGCCACTTGGGGCGGTAGTACCTTCCAAGGGTTGGGCTGTTTGCCCATTAAAACGGTATGTGAGCTGGGTTTAGAATGTCGTAAGACAGTTCGGTCCATATCTGGTGTGGGTGTTAGAACATTGAGAGGACCTTTCCCTAGTTCGAGAGGACTGGGAAGGATGCACCTCTAGTGTATCAGATATCGTGCCCATGGTAAACGCTGGGTAGCCAAGTGTGGAAATATCATACATTATCGTTCTTTTCCAGCATTAGCAATAGGAATGTCATACATTATCATTCTTTTCCAACGTTAGCAATAGCAATATCATACATTATCGTTCTTAGAAATGTATTGGTTTCTAGCAGCTAGTTGAATTGATAGGCTTTTAAATAAATGAACCTATTCTTGGTTGACAGTGTAGGTATCTTGTGTTCATGCATTATAATAAGATTCGCAAATGCAATATGCATGATGTAGGGTAGAATTGATCATGCTCAAGTGAATCTGAATCCCACTCAAAATCGTTTAATTTTCAGTATTTCCATATTTTTGTTTTATTTATTTATTGATAAGTTATTCTCATAGATTTCTAGCTATCATATTTAAAAACAAGTTCTTTCTAGCATAAATTAGTGGTGACCAGACATTTGAGATATGCAACTAAGTGCTGACTATGATCAGTGTAACAAATTTTACTGTTTGGAGGATGTTGAAAACATCGAGTTTATGGATCAGGATTGAGATGAAGATATAGTGTTGGAGAAGCCAGGAGAAGGAATAAAGGAAAAATTAAAAAAAGTGAATAGTGAATAGTGCAAGGGTGATTGGATTTGTGCAAAGGCAACAAAGAAGGCAAACAGCATACTGGTTTTAGTATTATAAAACTATTAAATATTCAGGGAGAACAGAAAGATGTTTTACACAATAAACTTGATATTCTCGTAACCATTGCTAAATTCGCATCCACATGTATTTAGCCTATAAGATATATTATAACTTGGTAATTCACCATGGCAACACTACTGTACATTAAAAAGAGAATCACCAACGAAAGCATGAGAAGCACCCGTTCATGTCTAGTTGCTTCTGTGGGGTTTGACCAGAAGATCATGGCTACTAGTAGACGGAAGTCATATAATGGTTCTCAACTTCTCATAGCTCTCATTTGAGTCATTTCTTCCAATTTTATGACGTTACCAGCGTGAAGCGCCTTAAATTAGAGCAGCCTCCGAAGTGCTGAGGAATGTTGATTCAGCCACCATCTAAATTCAGTATTGTACTCCAAAATGAGAACATGGCTGCATATATAGCTTTTCAAGGCTATGAAAACTGTTATTTCTATAGCTCTCCAAGAAAACATTTATCCTTTCATAGTTTGCAACATAATCAGAGCAGAACTCTCTCGAACTAGTGGTGCAAGCAACCTGCTACCTCCCATTTAAGATGTCCAGTAAATGAGAGGATATGTGTAGGGTACTACTAAAGCATTGTATATGCTTTCTTGGTTTTCATTACTTTGGCTTTAACAATTACCTGGAAATTGTGCCTCTGAATCCATAACCTTCTTGCAATATTTCATCAACAGGGCCCTGTGCAAGCACCTTAACGTCTACAATAGACCTCGAAAATTTGGGAATTTTTCCACAGGTGTCTTCTGGTCAATGTAATTTGAAACCAGCACCAAAGTGTGGAAAAAATGAATAAGTTTTCCAACTCATCAAACATTGCATGAATTGGAGTTATTGTATCAAATTCATGGCTATTATATTAGCCACTGCCATATGACTTACAGGAATCACGACATACTGTTCCTATAGATGGGTTTGGTAACCCTACTTCGGGAGATGATATACCCTGAAGGGCCTTAGTGGGTCCACATGCCCCATGAGCCAACACCATAGACCTCAATGGGCATAGTCACCACTCAACATGCACCCCTCCAATCTCTAAAAATAGAGGAAAACCAAGATCCTGGGGACCCACATCACGACCAAATCTTGATAAGAGAATCTGATCTCATAGAACTAAACTACCATTTCAGAATTTGTTTGGTATTTCCCTTATAACATCTCAAATGTAGATCTGACCATCCTGATTTCGATGTCACTGGAAAGATCATTGAATCCTCTGCAAGATAAGCTAATTCTTTCACCTCCTGTTTTTCATAGAATTATACTGTCGTGATCTTGGCACTTCTTCCACAGATCCCTAGCTCTTGCAGATTCCTAAGTCTACTGTGGGGGACCAGGATCATTTTTGGCATCGTTCAATATTACCTCCATAGCTTTCTACCATGAGGTCGGATTGATCTCACTCTTGACCATTGGAAAGCTTACAGAACCCTCCATCTAATGAGCTAAATCTTGAGTCTCTTGACCAGATTCGCCTCTGAACTCCTAGTATTAAACCTCCCAAGTATTAATGCGAAGGTTTTTTCCTCTCTCTCTAGAGATTGGAGGGGTGCATGTGGAATGATTGAGGTGTATGCCCTTATGGGTCTTGATGCATGGGAGTACCTCACATGGGTCCATTAAGCTCAAATCCAGGGTGAAGCACCAATTTGCATGGTAGAATACCAAACATTGGTATTCTATACTGCAATTTCTGGTTGTCTTCTGGAAGTTATCGGTGTTTTTTGCCATAATTTTGCATCAACTTTGATTCAGGCAATGTTTGAGGAGTTGTAAATAGTCAATTTGCTGCACTTTAGCACTAGTTTAATTGTTTTTTTTTGGATGAATCGGTGGGGATGATGGGCTGTTACCCGTTTTATTAATAAGAAAAAACAGGAAGCACTAGTTTTAAATTGTTTAATCACAAGAAGCTTTTGGAAATTGCTGAAACTTTGGAGGTTTGTTGTAGGATGCAAGGTGTATGCATGGGATCTGATGATAAATAGTTTGGGACCAGCACTAGTGTAGTGGGAATTATTGTTTCCTATTTTTACCTATTTGTTATTCCTCCATTTGGGCTTCAACTTATATTTACCACCGATCTCCTATAAGGCCACACCTGAACTATACCTCTCTATAAGATCCCAAAGAAACATGGAACTGCTAGACCCATACAAGAGCGCTACCAGAAACCCTTGTGTCATGGTAAACTTTGACATCAATCATATCATGCATACTTCCATCCTTTTTGTTGCTCCCTCAAATAGCCCAAATAAAGCATGGGGAAAACTGAATCATGCCCAATTTCTTGAGTCAAGCTGACATGCACTCCCCAAGCTAACCAGCGCAGCTAGCAGTAAGGAGTATGAAGCACACCCAAGTTCTACTTTAGAGAAATGGGGAGGAGTGTAATACAATGTATCTGGAGGTGTATATAGTGCCCCTTTATATTTGGAACTGTCTTTGATGCAAGGAATGACTTTTCTAGTGTTTAGAAAAATCATGAATAAAAAAATCACAAAAAAGAAGCCTATGGACATGCATCAACTGTTTGTTGGTGTGTCCAACAAACAGTGTCAAATCTGAAGCAGAAGTCTCTCAGCCATGTCCAGATAAGCCTACCTGTTCTTTTGAACTAATAGAAGATACGACCTTTGAAACTTTATCTTTGACTGATTTAGAATGACTTGTAATGTCCAATGAATAAGCTAAAATGACTGCAATAAAGCAGAGTTATATTACCCAAATATCCATAATATCCATGACAAGCAGGCTTATTGGATAAGAAAAAAGGTCGATGCAAAAACATTCTTATAAGACCTACCAAATGTCAATAAGTGGAAACAAAAAATTTATGTTAAAAGTTCTTTATGCCTCTTTTTTTTTGATTGTTAACTCCTTTTCTCATAAATTGTAAATTGTATGGTACAAAATTCTTTTGTGGTATGATGTCTGTCCAGAATTCGTGTATGGTTTATGTATGATCAAAATGCAGACATAAAGAATAATGCACAAGGAGCCTTTCAGATGAACCAAAGAATATATGTGTGCATGTGCGTGTGCGTCCGTGTGTGTGGGTGGGTGTTTGGTGGGGGGGGGGGGCTGTTCATTGAATTTTTCTATGATGTTGTGGAAGTTGTATTTAAATTTAGTGGATACCACATGCATTCGCTTGTTGCTTGTAAATTTAGTGGATACCACATGCATTCGCTTGTTGCTTGGATTGTATATAGAAGCCTAAGTTTTCTATCTAGAAGAAATAAGATATTTCTGGTTACACCTCCTAGAATTGAGAGAGATATTTCTTCATATGCATTTCCTAAATGTGCAAGCTGTATATATACACTCTATCCAAAGTGTATATGCACAACGTGCAAACTGGTATGGGTCCAAGTTCAAGCCTGATTTACGTCTGGGCTGGGCTCGGGTTTCCATGATATAATTCAGGACTGTCGCAACTTCTACATATTTTCAGGCCCTGGCCCAGCCAAAAAAAAATCAGGGGGCACCTGTATTCGTACTCCATTTCTAAAATCCATTCCTCGTTTGACTGGGTAAAAATACGTCAGTTAGTGGAACTGCAGCAAAGTTGACAGTGACATTCTCTTTGCAGGAGATCTATCAAAGTGGACAAAGTTGCCATTATCATCCTTGAAATGACTGGTTTCTTATTTTGGCTATTTTGCTTTCAAGATTTCAGCAAGAAATTTAATCCCATGCTGAAATTCTGAAGTTGTTTAAGCTGTTCAATTCCAAATATTATTAAGCTGTTCAATACGTAATATTGTTCGACAGTTAACTAAAGATTTAGTCTATGCTGTTTGCGAAACATGCCTTAGTTTAGATGAGAGCCCTTTGGTTCCCAAATGGCTCGGTGCTTAGGGTGTTGAGGATGGCAATGCAATATCTAATATCCAGCTGACTTAACAAAAGAAAAAGTAATTTCAATACTAATATTTTCTTTATGTGTTTCTGATATTTAGCTTCTTCTTGTAGTTTTTCAGTAATCATCTTGTCTTTTATTCGAAGCCATTGCTCTCATCTAATTTTTCCTCACACTGCATAAATCAGCCTATATAAATAAATAAACTATTTGTAGTGGCCTGTTATATTCTCTACCTCTACTTTCAACTGTTTTCTTCTCTCATGTGTTAGTATGATGTATACATGTATATATGAATGAATTTATGTTTCTATGTATATACGTGTGTGTGCATGTGTGCTTGTGTATATGTATGGATGTGTGTATTCAGTGCTTCATTGTTGCAATCAGGATGATGGAACATGGCTTGCTATCGCCTGAGCGTGCAAAGAAAGCTCACGAGCGAAAGCAGAGGCGGCTGCAGCAACAGAGATTGGGGGGAACTCCCATCAAGTCCCCGGTGAAAAGGGAAGTTTCACAGAGCTCCCAAAAGCCGAGCTCTTCTAAGAATGGTGAGCTCAAACCCAAAAAAAGAAGCCTATATTATGATGAGGATGATGATTTCACTTTGAAGCCCAAGAAAGGGAGAGAGAATTAATGCTCCCAAGAAATGTATAAAAAAGGAAAGCTCTGATAAATCTCTCTCAAGAGGACCAGTTGAGAAAGTGTAGAATAATTACAACTAAGAAATTTTTCTTAAACCATTTACATGGAATAAATTTGCGAACATTCTTTCTACCTTATTCTGAGGCAATTCAGTGTAAACTGTTTTTAGCGCTATATCTTTTTCGGAGTGGTCATTTTATTCATGTTGTATTAAGCCGAGGGAAAATAATGAGAAAGGCCCTTTGCAAAATGGCAAATCCTCTGCAAAATGCAATTAGCTGCATCATCTCTCTCTCTCTCTCACACACACACCATTTTGAATGCTCTCTCTTCCTCTGTTAAAAATCTCTCTCACTCACCATTGTGAATGCTCTCTCATCTCTTCCTCTGTTAACAATTTATCTCTCACACTCTTCGAATGCCATCTCTCTCTCTCTCTACGGTGTCGAAGCAACCCCCTGCTCTCTAGCTCTCAAAGTAACAAAGGTTTTATGATTCACCAGGTGCATGAGCAACAACACATAAAGACCAAGAACAAGGAAGTGCTTTACATGTGATATCAGTTTATAGCAGCAAAATTTGTACTCTCTTGCGAGATGGAACCGATAAAGTTCCACTTCAATCTACCTCACCAACCCAACAACTAAAAGAACAAAAACTTCTCTCTCTACTCTCTCTCCT